AGGCGAAGAGGCTGCAGCGGAGGTCCGCGGCCAGCACGTCGCGGCTCGCCGCTTCCCTGGCTGCCGCCCTGCTGGAGAGCTGCATCCCGGGCTCGTGGCGGCGCGTGGCCGGAGGAGGCAACGCGGGGCAGCCCGGGGCCTGAGCCCGGGGGACCGCGGACCGTCAGCAACCGGGTTTCCCAGTCCGGGGGTGGAGCTAAGCAAAGAGGTGACAAGATGACAGCGGTGAGAACGCGCTGACGAGCGTCCTCTGCAGGACACTGGGCTCGATCACTCAGTGCAAGGAACACGAGGTCTGGAGAGCCACCTCTCGGACCCCGCCAGCCCCGGAGCCCCAGGCCTGGAGGAGCCGCTACAGCACCTGGCGGGGCAGAACCCCGGGACCCGGGGCCCCCCGGGGCCTGGCCGCCCCACTGCCTGCAGCCACGGCCTACCTCCCCGCCCGCCGCTCTCACGCCGCTCCGCCCACCGGCCCAGGCCCGCCCCTCTCCGCGCCCTGACTTGCCGCGCTCAGCCAGCGCCAGCCCGCGGGTTCCCGAGGAGCCCAGCTGGTCAGTGTGCGGGACAAAGGTGCCCATGCCGCTGCCAATCACCCTTGCAGCAGCGCCAGATGGAAATCATTCCGGGGCCCGCCCTGGGGACTGGCCTTTGTCCTGGCTCTGCGGGTTGTGCCTGCCTCTCCCACCTTGGGAATTGCCACCTGTTGAATAAATCGGTTCCCTCCGGAGCTGGCGCGCTGCACTGACACCCAGGGAAACTGAGGCCTGGAGTGATGCAATACTTTCTCAAGACACGGTAGCCAACGCAGAGTCCTTCCTCTCTACGTTACGGCCTCCGGAATTCTCTCAATTGCTCAAATGTATGACCTCAGATCTCCCAAGGTCCTCCTGCGTTGAAGGCCTCGAACAGGAAGCCTGGAAAACAAGCACAGGAGGGCAGAGGGAGCAGTGACCTATCCCCGAGGAAGGGAAACGACCGGACTCCCAAATGACTCAGCGGCTGGACAGGAAAAAGCATCTGCTGCCAGTCCTGGCGATCTCAGTTCAATCCCCGGATCCCACTTGTAGAAGGCGAGAATTGACTGCAGAAATTTCAGCATTTTGTCTGGGGCTTCCATATGCAGCCCAAGGCTCAAGTATGCCCACGCTCAAACATATACACAAAATAAGAAAATATAAGCCGGGTGTTGGTGGCGCACGCCTTTCACCCAACACTCTGGAGGCAGAGACAGGCCTGTCTCTCTAAGTTCAAAGACAGTCTGGTCCACAGAGCGAGTTCCAGAACAGGCTCCAAAGCTACAGAAAAACCCTGTCTAAAAGAGAGAGAGAGAAAGAAAGAAAAGAACAAACAGGCTCCCACCACTTCTCCCTACTCAAGGCTTTATTAGGAAAACAAAACTTTTTGTCCTCCTGATCACACAGAAATAAAAGCACAAGCCTATGCTGAAATTATTAAACAAACAAACAAACAAAAAATCCCCTTTAAAGACGCTGAATGTAGCAGCACACAGAGTGTGGGGCAGATGCAAGAGGATCTCTGTGTATTCCAGGCCAGGACTACAAAGAGAAACCTTGTCTCAAAATAAATAAAAATAATTTAAAAATAAATAAAAACGCCACAAACAGCACTGGGGACATAGCTCAGTGGAAAAGAACACTTGCTCCTCAAATGCCCAGCACAACGTTAAAAGCAGAGTGTGGCCATGGCTGCAGACAGAAGTAATTCTGGGGCTTGCTAGTGCGGGACTAGCTCCAGGTTCAGTAAAGCCCTATCTCAAAAGACTAGGGTGGGAAGTGATGGACCTGGTCACTTCCTCCTCTGGCCTCTCCTCCCATGAGTGCAAAAGCTCATACATCATGGGGGCAGGGAGGGGCTAGGAAGATGACTTAGTGGGTAAGGTACTTGCTGCCAAGCCAGATGACCTGAGTATAATCCTTCTTACCCACGCAGTGGAGAGAGACTCAAACATATATGCAAACATTAAAAATAAAAAACCTGGGCCTGGAGAGATGGCCTGGTGGTTAAGAACACTGACTGCTCTTCCAGAGGACCCGGGTTCAAGTCCCAGCACCCATATGGCAGCTCACAACTGTCTGTAAAAAGTTTCAGGGGATCTAACACCTTCAAACCAATGACCATAAAATAAAGTTAAATAAATACTAAAAAATTCTTTAAAAAATAAATAAATAAATAAATAAATAAAAATAAAAAACCTCAGCCAAACATAATAAAATAATAAATAAACATACACATATAGCACTGGGCTCTCTGAGAAATAAACCCCTTCCTCGGGCATTCAAGTGTGGCTGTGTTCTGTGTTCATCAGACTTTGGGAGAGAAGGAAGACGAGACTACATCCACAGACCCCACAGAGCTTCCCCGGACAGGCAATGGGTGCAGGCTACCTCCAGGAGCCCTCCTGATAACAGCTGTTGTAAAACCTGAACTGATCTAGAATCACCAAAATGTCTGAGAGATTTATGGCCTCAAATAAAACCCACAAATCCCCCAAAGTCCTGGGATCCCATGGAGCACCAGGAATGCTAAGGTAGCTGGTGTACATCTGGAGTGCAATGGACGAACCTCACCCTGGGAAAACCTTCTGACCATCTCTCCGGTCAGATAAGTATAATAAATGTAATTTTTTAAAATACTAATGAGGGGGCTGGAGAGATGGCTCAGTGGTTAAAAGCTTTGCCTGCTCTTCCAAAGGTCCTGAGTTCAGTTCCCAGCAACCACGTGTACTCAAACCATCTGTAATGAGATTTGGTGCCCTCTTCTGGCCTGCAGGGATACATGCAGGCAGAACACTAAATACATAATAAATAAATAAATCTTTAAAAAAATAAAAATACTAATGAAGGGCCAGAGAGAAGGCTCAACAATACAAATAGCTTCCGGCTCTTCCAGAGGACCTGAATGCAGTTCCCAGTACCCGCATCAGCCGTTCACTCCGCTTCCACGGAATCCAACACTTTTGCCACTCACATGTGGAGTACACATGTTAACTATGTGGAGACACACACAGTTAACAATAAAGGAACCGGAAAGATGACTCAGGGGTTAAGATCACTGGCTGTGCACCCAGAGGACCCGGGTTTGGCTTTGAGCACCCACATGGCAGCTCACAGCCCTCTGTCGCTGCCGTCCCAGGTGAGCCAGAGCTGTCTGTCTTCTTCCTCATCAGGCACCAGGCATGCATGCGGCACACAAACATACATTCAGGCAAAACACCCATATGCATAAACGATTTTTAAAAATAATCTCTATAATTCTCTTAAAAATAAAAGTACTGCCAGTGGTGGTTGTGACATACACCTTTAATCCCAGTACTCAGGAGGCAGAGACAGGCGGATCTCTTTGTGTTCGAGGCCAACCTGGTCTACAGAGTGAGTTCCAGGACAGCCATAGCTACACAGAGAAACCCTGTCTTGAAAAACAAAAACAAGCAAAACAAAAATTTAATTAATTTAATTAAATAAAAATGATAATGAAGCCGGGCGGTGGTGGCGCATGCCTTTAATCCCAGCACTTGGGAGGCAGAGGCAGGCAGATCTCAGTGAGTTCGAGACCAGCCTGGTCTACAGAGCTAGTTCCAGGACAGGCTCCAAAGCTACAGAGAAACCCTGTCTCGAAAAACCAAAAAAAAAAAAAAAAAAAAAAAAGTTAATGAAACAGAGAGAGCAAGAACAAGTATATGATTGCAGTTTTGCGTTATTACTCTTAATGTTTCTGGCTCCCGTCCATGTTTGTGAACTTGAGTTACCACCTGGAGACATTTCTGAGCCCCGCACAGAATCACCCCACACCACGCCTTTGCGCTCAGGCTGCCGACCACATTTCTACACTTCAGAGCTCAACGCTGCTTTGTTTATTCGTGCTGGGGTTGAACCAGGGGCTCCTGCATGTCAAGTCCACTTCGAAGAAACACCCAGCACACTTAGGGCTGCTGGACAGTGTATTTCAGCTGTGGGCTGTGGGAAAGGCTTACTGAGCTGCAGCTCCGGTGGCCGGGGTGTAAATATGTCATCTGGCCTCTCCTCTCCGTTGTTTTTGCTGAAAAGTCAGCAGTAAATTTCATTTGGGTTGCCTTGCGACAAGATTGTTTTTCTCGTGTTGCTTTCAGGATTTCCACCCTAGTGCTGGAGAGATGGCTCGCTGGTCACAAGGACTGACTGACTGCTCTTGCAAAGATCCAGGTCAGTTTCTAGCACACAGTGGCTCACAACTATTTGTTACTTTAGTTCCAGGGGATCTGATGCCTTCTGGAAGGCAACGCACATGCAGTGCACATAAATCCTGTCCCTGTCTCTCTATGTCTGTCTCTATCTCTGTGTCTCTATGTGTCTCTCTCTGTCTCTCACGCACAAATGATGATGTTGATGAAATAAATCTTGAAAATATATTCCCTTGCTGGGCATGGTGGTGCATACCTTTAATCCCAGCACTTGGGAGTCAGAGGCAGGTGGATCTTTGTGAGTTCAAGGCCAGCATGGTCTAGGGAACAAATTCCAGGACAGTCACGGCCACCAAGAGAAATTCTGTCTCAAAAAAAAAAAAAAAAAAAAAAAAAAAAAAAAAAAAGGTAGGGTTAGAGAGATGGTTCAGCAATTAAGAGCACTGGCTGCTCTTCTAGAGGACCCAGGTTCAATTCCCAGCGCCCAGATGGCAACTCACAAGTGTCTGTAACTCCATTTCCCAGTAAATCAAGCACCGTCAAACTAACATACATGGGGGCAACACGCCAATGCACATAAAAGTAAACAATAATCTTTTCAAAAAAAATGAAGAAAGAAAACCAATTGGGCATGGTGGTGCAAGCCTTTAATCCCAGCACTTGTGAGGCAGGAAGATCTCTCTGAATACGAGCCCAGTCTGGTCTACAGAGTGAGTTCCAGGACAGCCAAAGATACAGAAAAACCTTGACTCCAAAAAAAAAAAAAAATTAATAATAAATAAAGAAAAAAAACAAAAAATTAAATTAAAAATTTATTCCCTCCTGGTCTTTGACTCTCAGTATTTTTGCCAAGATGATTTCTCTGTATTTATTCTACTTGAAGTTAATTGGGCCTTCTGGAAGTCTAGCAGATTTTTTGTTTTTGTTTTTGCTTTGTTGTTTTGTTGTTTGTGGGTTTTTGGGATTTGTGTTTGTAGGCATGTGCGTGTGCCTGAGTGTGCATGTGTGCTGAGATTAAAGGCATGCGCCACCATGCTGGTAACAACAAGCTTGTTTATTTATTTATTTTTAATTTAACTTTAAACATTTTTGTTTTTGATTTTTGATACAGGGTTTCTCTGTGTAACAACCCTGACTGTCCTGGAACTTGCTCTGTAGACCAGACTGGCCTCGAACTCAGAGAGATCTGCCTGTCTCTGTTTCCTAAGTGCTGGAATTAAAGGCGTGCGCCACCACACCCAGCCACAAGTTTATGAAATTTTCAGTTATTTTCTTTTTGGTCTTACTCTGTAACCCAGGCTGGCCTGGAACTGTGTGGCCCTTGCTGACCTTGAACAAAACCATTTCTCTTTCTCCTGACGCGACATTGTCCTCTGACCGGTCTTCTCTTCCTTTGACTCCTTGTTTATAACAGTGACTTCGAAGGCTGTGTCTGTCGGTCCTGACCTCTGCCCTCTTGCGCAGGCAGGCTCTGCCGCCTGCCTTTGTTTGCTCTTCGCTGTATGAGTCATGTTTTCCTGTTTCTTTTCCTGCCTTGTAATGCCTGTTGTTTGGAGAAAAGACATTTCAGAGATTACACTGTAGCATGTTCTCCTGTTTCTGGGGTGTGTAATTATTGTCTGCTTGTTTATTTATTCAGGGATGTCAGTGGAGGGAAGCAAATCCATCTCACCCCTTCCGTGCCTCTCACGGTGAGACTCCTGCCTCACAGCAGAGGGTGTGCTCCAGTGACTGCAGGGGTGTGCTCACAGTGATTGCAGGGGGTGTGTTCACAGTGACTATAGGGATGTGCTCACAATGTCTATAGGGGTGTGCTCACAGTGACTATAGGGGTGTGCTCACAGTGATTGCAGGGGGTGTGTTCACAGTGACTATAGGGGTGTGCTCACAATGTCTATAGGGGTGTGCTCACAGTGTCTATAGGGGTGTGCTCCAGTGACTGCAGGGGTGTGCTCACAGTGACTGCAGGGGGTGTGTTCACAGTGACTATAGGGGTGTGCTCACAGTGTCTATAGGGGTGTGTTCACAGTGACTATAGGGGTGTGCTCACAGTGTCTATAGGGGTGTGTTCACAGTGACTATAGGGGTGTGCTCACAGTGTCTATAGGGGTGTGCTCACAGTGACTATAGGGGTGTGCTCACAGTGACTGCAGGGGTGTGCTCACAGTGACTATAGGGATGTGCTCACAATGTCTATAGGGGTGTGCTCACAGTGACTATAGGGAGGTGCTCACAGTGTCTATAGGGGTGTGCTCACAGTGACTGCAGGGGGTGTGCTCACAGTGTCTATAGGGGTGTGCTCACAGTGACTGCAGGGGGTGTGCTCACAGTGACTATAGGGGTGTGCTCACAGTGACTATAGGGGGTGTGCTCACAGTGACTATAGGGGTGTGCTCACAGTGACTATAGGGGTGTGCTCACAGTGACTATAAGGGGTGTACTCACAGTGACTATAGGGAGGTGCTCACAGTGACTTTAGCATAACAATGAGGGTTTTTGTAGGATTGTATGTTTGTTTGAGTTTTGGCTTGTTGTTTTTTAAGACAAGTTCTAACAACGTAGCCCTCACTGTGCTAGATCTTAACCATGTAGACCAGGGTAGCCTCAAACTCATAGGGATCCTCCTGCCTCTACTTCCCGAGTAATGGGATTAAAGACATATGCCACTACCACACTTGGCTTGTTTTTTGTTACATGGTTTTGGTTTTATGAGCCAGGGTCTCATTCTGCGTAGGCTGTCCTGGAACTCTATGTTCAGCCAAGGCTGGCCTCATACGTGCAGCAATCCTCCTGCCTCAGCCTCACAAGTGCTGGGGCAGTATTTTTTGCAGACCTTTCATGTGTCTGTCCCTGACCACATCCAGCTGTTAAAGTTCACTCAGGAGTTGTTTTGGGCTCCTTGGAAGGGATCGCTCCCTGAGTCAGTGTTCATACGCTGTGTTTACCTTCCTGGAAGTCTGCCCAGCCTACAGATGAGCCCATAAATCCAGTGAGACAGTCAGTCTCCCAATTGCTCTTCTCCACAATGCTCCAGACCACTCCAGTTTATTTCTCTAGTTATTATTATGATTATTGTTCTTTTTATTATCATTGTTATTTGCCTTGCTAGGGATTAAACCCGAAGCCTCTCCCATACTGGGAAGGTGCCCTATCATTGAGCCATACTACATCCCAACTGTTTGCCAGAGGCTTCACGATGCTCTGTTACAAATGAAGTCCGTTCCTTTGGGAAGCCATCAGTCTTCTCCCTGCAGGTAAAGTCTCTGGCCCAGGACTTTGGAGATAGTGTGGGGAGAGTGAGCAGCTTCTTTCCAAGCGGCATTCTTGCTCTGTAAGAAATGAGCCAGTAGGTGAGCTGGGGAGAGTTCTCAGTGGTTACAGAACGTGATGTGCAATCATGGAGATGAGAACTCAGATCCCAGAGATCAAATAACAAGCTGAAATCCCCTCAAATATCTGTAACTCCAGTCCAGAGAGATCTGGTGTCCTCACAGACACAAATAAAAACATGTCTTTTTAAAGAGTGCCCATTTATGCATTCATGTGCATGTGCACACATGCACACACACGTGCGCAGATACACACACACAATTAAAAATGAAGTGTAAAATACTTTTAAAATGCTCTACTGAGAGAAGGAGGGAGCAGCAGTCTACCCCTGGCTTGCTACAACTCAAAGTTAGTCCAGGGAGACCTGGAATTGAAAGCAATCCTACTGCCTCAATTTCCCAAATGCTGAGATTACAGATGTGAGCCACCATGCCCAATGTTTTCTACGTTCCTTAATAAATGTTGTATGTAAGGCTGGAGAGATGGCTCAGTGATTAAGAGCACTGGCTGCCCTTCCAGAGGTCCTGAATTCAATTGCCAGCAACCACATGGTGGCTCACCACCATCTAGAATTGGATCCGATGCCCTTTGCTGGCAAACAGAGCACTTATACATAAAAAATATAAATAAATAAAAAGTTTTTAAAAATTGTATGTCTTGGGGCTGGAGAGATGGCTCAGAGGTTAAGAGCACTGACTGCTCTTCCGAATTCCTGAGTTCAATTCCCAGAAACCACATAGTGATTCACAGCCATCTGTAATGAGGTCTGGTGCCCTCTTCTGGCCTGCAGGCAACACACAGACAGAATATTGTATACATAATAAATAAGGCATGCACCACCAACACCTAGTTGGTAGGTGGATTTCTAAGCATTCAAGGTGGAGAGTTCCAGGACAGTAAGGGTTATTTAGTGAGATTCCCGACCAAAAAAGAAAAGAGAGAGAGAGAGAGAGAGAGAGAGAGAGAGAGAGAGAGAGAGAGAGAGAGAGAGAAAAGAAAAATAGAATAGAAAACCCACGATCGGCTGGAGAGATGGCTCAGAGGTTAAGAGCATTGCCTGATCTTCCAAAGGTCCTGAGTTCAATTCCCAGCAACCACATGGTGGCTCACAACCATCTGTAATGGGGTTTGGTGCCCTCTTCTGGCCTGCAGTTATACATTCAGTCAGAATATTTTTTACATAATAAATAAATAAATATTTAAGGGGCTGGAGAGATGGCTCAGTGGTTAAGAGCATTGCCTGCTCTTCCAAAGGTCCTGAGTTCAATTCCCAGCAACCACATGGTGGCTCACAACCATCTGTAATGGGGTCTGGTGCCCTCTTCTGGCCTGCAGATATACACACAGACAGAATATTGTGTACATAATAAATAAATTAAAAAAAAAAAGAAAGAAAACCCACGATCATCTTCATATCCAGAAGAATAGATATAGAGCAAAAAGGTTTCATCAAAACAACAAAACAATTCCTGCTGGACAATGGTGTCACATGTTTTTAATCCCAGCACTCATGAGGCAGAGGCAGGAGGATCTCTGTGAGTTCGAGGCCAGCCTGGTCTACAGCGTGAGCTCCAGGGCAGCTCGGAGCCGAGTGAAATGCAGGGGCATTTAGGAGTCACTGGGAAAGACTGAGGCTACAGCTCAGCACACAGCACTTGCTAAGCAGGCTTGAGTCCAATCCCCGGTGCTGAATAAGCAAGTTACTGTAAGAGCATCCCTAAGGCAGTGGCAAAGTGGACGTGTGTACTCATCAAACCTTACGCAGCTGCGCGGACACCCTGCCACCACAGCCTGGCTGGCCTACTGAAAATCTGGCACTTAACAGTGACTACTAAAGCGGTCACTCGAGTGAGAAAAAGAACAAGGAAAAGCAGATAATATACACAAGGCAGGATAAAGAAACAGGGTAAGTTCCGGGTACGTGGAAGGGAAAGGAGCCGATCTGGTTAACATTTCTTGCTGGCTGAGGGTCAAGAGCTTCAGTAGAACTAATAAAGCCAGGGGATACGGCCCGCAAAGAAGACAACAGTCCTGATCCCTCAGGACTGCTCAACATGTGCCAAACAGGAAATGGCCCTTGTCGTGGCTGCGTAACACCAGAGACTAAGCAGCCTTTGAGTTTATCAGCAATTTCTCACTCCAAACTGAACCAGGCACCTCACAAGCCACCTTAACATTTAGATTTACAGAACAAAGTTCTTTTATAAACTACATTTATTTATTTATTTGTGTGAGTGTGTGCATGTGTGTGCATGCGTGTGTGTGTGTGTGTGTGTGTGTGTGTGTGTGTGTGTGTAGAGTGTGCATGTGGAGGTTGGAGAGCAACTCTTGGGAGTCTGTTCTTCCATCACATGGGTCCTGGAGACTGAACCCATTTCATCAGGCTTGGTGGGAAGAGCCCTTACTCATGGAGCCACTGCCCAGATTCTCTTCACTGCTTTTGGAAACAGGGTCGTATGTATCCCACCCAGACTGGTCTCCAACTTTCTACGTAGCTGCCCTTGCACGTGTGTACTTCTTCTGCCTGTACTTCCCAAGTGCTGAGATTATAAGCATCTACCACAATATTCAATTTTATGAAGCTTTTTTGTGCACGTTAGACACTGCCAACTGAGCTATGTCCCTAGCCCACAAAATAAAATTATTTAGGATACATGAGTAAACCAACACATTAAAAAATTATTTCTAGGGGACTGGAGAGATGACTTAGCAGTTAAGAGCACCGACTGCTCTTCCAGAGGTCCTGAATTCAATTCCCAACAACCACAGGGTAGCTTACAACCATCTGTAATGAGATCTGGTGATTTCTTCTGGTGTGCAGTCATACATGCAAGCAGAACACTGTATACATAATAAATAAATAAATCTTTTAAAAATATTTCTAAACTGGGCATGTGACTTTAATCTTAGAACTCAGGAGAAAGAGGCAGGTGGATCTCTCAGTTCAAGGCCAGCCCCATCTATAGAGTGAGCTCCAGGACAGTCAGGGTTACAATGAGAAACACTGTCTCAAAAACCTAAATAATAGACAAACAAACCTGGATGTTCCCAAATTCAAGAAAAAAAATTGAGTTGGTGGTGGTGGTACATGCCTTTAATCCCAACACTCAGAAGGTAGAGGCAGGCAGATCTGTGTGAGTTTGAGGCCAGCCCTGGTCTACAAAGTAAGTTCCAGAACAGCCAGAGCTGTTAAACAGAGAAACTTGTTTTGAAAATCAAAATAAGAAAAGAAAAACTTTTACTGAGAAAAGTAAATTTTACTTAAGAAAAAAAGATTACTGGAAAGGAGAAAAAAAAGTGGTGATTTTTTGACTTTTTTTTTTTGGCTTTGTATTTTAATTGTGCTGGATGTCTCCGCAGTTTTATTCGTAGGACTGCAGAACCTGGCAAAGCTGCTGCTGTTATTGGTGCAGAGCGTGCTGCATTATTCGCCTTTTTATACAAATAGAAACGTACACATACAGACACAGACGTACTCACGAATATGATATCAACCGTGGGAAAAGAATCCCCTTTTACTACATTGGGTTGGCACCGTACGGAAATGAAAGCCACAATGGTTTAGAAATGTTGGACATTTTTTTTTTCTTTGTACAGACGTATAGCACTGCACTGAGTATGCGAGATCTTACCTACGTTGGTTTCATTACAGAGACTAAGAACAAAAAACATATTGCCAACTCTTTCGAAGTCCTCAGTGCGCCTGTCCCAATCCCACCCCTCAGAATAGGAAATCTACAATTCTTTGTTCCTCGATGCCTAAACCATCGGAAAAATACTTTATTTAAAAGAAACCAAATTCCAGTGTACGGAGGTAAAAACTCCGCCACTGGTTAAGCAGGAGGCCTAAACCTTCGCCCCGCCCCCTGTAGGAGGCGGGAACCGAGCCAGGCTTTAGGCGATTGCTCGGTTTCATTTGCATACCCATAACACACTGCAACTAATACAGATAATTTCGTGAAAAATATACTTACTTATTATTAGTTTTAAAACTAAAACATATATATTATTTAAGACAATCATGAAGAAATTTCCGTAGGTTAATAACGCTTTACCTATGTCGTCACCGTCAGTAAACTAGGAGGTCTTGTTACTACAGAAAAGTATCAAGCGTCCTCGTCTTCATACTCTGGTTTCTCTTCAGATCGTATAAATCTTTCGCCTTTTACTAAAGATTTCCGTGGAGAGGAACAACTCTGAGTCTTAAACTAATTTTTTGAGGCCTTGTTTTTACAAGGCTCCACTTTACAGTCCTAAAAGTAGACTTAGTTTCACCGTGTAGGACAGCAGTAAGGACAGTGATCTCTTGTTTCACTGCTTCTCCAGGTAACAACTCCAGCTGTGCTACATAGAACTTTGTACTGCGCACGGGGCGAGTGTTCACAGACCAAGCCTCTTTTTTTTTTCCTATTAAATTTTAGATACAATTGTAGGGTATTCTTTTTCACAGCCTTTATATGGAGAAAGTTGTATTTTAACGTGTATACCAGGACCTAAACTGTAAGATGACTCAGCAGGTGAAGATATTGCCACCAAGTCTATTGCCCGGTGTTTCATCCCCTGGGGATCCAACGTCAAGGAAAAAAAAGGGGGGAAAAAAACGAATTCCCCCAAAGTTGTCCTCTGACCTCCACATGCACCAGAGTACTTGAACTGGCATGTGTGCAGGACACACACACACAAAGGACACATGATCCATACACTGCATATTCAGAGCTATGACCACGCCACTGCCTTTCTGCCCCAAGCGTTCCTGGCATCACTTTGAGATTTTGCCCTCAGTTGTCTTCAGATACACCTTTGGGTCCACTCTGTCAGAGCCTGAAGAAGTTAGGAGGTGATGAGTGGATAGGAGGAGAAATGAGAGCTACTTTGACTTTAAGACCAACCTTTTTTTTTTTTTTTTTTTTTTTTTGCGGTTTTTGTTCTTTGTTTTTACTTTTAGACAGGATTTCACTGTGTAGCCCTTGCTGTCCTAGAACTCTCTATGTAGACCAGGCTAGTCTTGAACTCACAGAGATCCACCTGCCTCTGCCTCCTGAGTGCTGGGACTAAAGGCATGCACCACCACTGCCTGGCATTCCAAAGCAAACAATTACTACTCTTGTAGAACCTCTCAGCTAGCTGGGCATAATGGCACATACCTTCAACCCCAGCACTGGAAGGGTCCAGGCCGATCTCTGTGAGTTCGAGGTCAGTATGATCTACATAATAAGTTCCAGGACAGTCAGAGCTGTCTCAAAAAAGGAAAGAGAGAGAGAGAGAGAGAGAGAGAGAGAGAGAGAGAGAGAGAGAGAGAGAGAGAAACAACAACAACCAACTAATTAATAAATAAAACCTCTCAACCTAAGAATTAAATTGGCAGCCAGGAGTGATGATGAATCTCTCTGAGTTCGAGGTTACCCTGGTCTACAGAGAGAGTTTCAGGGCTACTCAGAGAAACTCTGTCTCAAAAAACTATCAAAACCAAATTAACCAAACAAAGAAGAATTAAATTGGCATAAAAAAGAATAACTGAGCCAGACCTTGGTGGTACACACCTTTAATCCCAGCGCTCGGGAGGTAGAGACAGTCGTTCTCATGAGTTCAAGGCCAGCCCTGACCTACATAGAGAGTTCCAGGAGAGATGGCTTAGTAGTTAAGAGCACCGGCTACTCTCCCAGAGGATCTGGGTTTGCTATGGTAACTCACAAACATCCGTAACTTCATTTCCGAAGAATCCAACACCTTCTTCTGACACCCAAAGCTCCAGGCACACAAGGCTGCACACACACTTTCAGGCAAAACACTCATTCACTTAAAGGTGAAAATCTTTTTTATAAAGAGATTAATAAGTGAAAGTATATAAATTTTACATACAAAAACACTCCACAGAAAAGTGGCCACTGAATAGATGATCACGTGTTTGTGCACTGCCAAAGACAGAGCAGGAGCGGCAGGCTGGAGCTACATTGGGTAGAGCTCTGCCCTCGTCTCTCCTTCCAGGTTTAATCCAGCCAAGCAGGTCAGCCATCTGGCTAAGGGACCATCTCTAGGGAGAAGAGTTCACTTTACAATTAGATTTGTCTGTTTGAGGCCAGGCTGGCCTCAAACTCACAGAGATTCGCCTGCCTCTGTTTCCTGAGTGCTGGGATTAAAGGTGTGAGCCATCAATGTACAGCCAGGTTTTTCCCCCACACAAAGATCTTCGTCTCAGAATAAATCTTGTGCCTCAATGTCATATTCTATTGCTCCTCAGACCTAACTGCAGAAGAGAGGAACTTGACCCCCCCCCGCCTCGTCTCCTCTTTCCTGTGAGAGAAAAACCCAACATTCCAAGCCCCTTTCTCAAGTAGAAAACTAAACCAAAAACATGGCTGAGTAAACCCTGATCAACATAGTAATCATCTATTTTGAGGTAATTAATTAAAACAATAAAATAAGAAGTCCGGGAGCCGAGGCTGGCGAGACAGCTCAATGCATTTACTAAAAACATTTACAGAGGACCTGGATTCTGTTCCTGGCACTCACATGGTGGTTCACAATAGTCTCTCCCTGCAGTTCCAGGAATCTGACACCCACTTCTGGACTCTGTACACACGTGGTATACATGCACATAAACCCCAGTGGTGGTGTACATCTTTAATCTGAACACACAGGAGGCAGAGACAGGCGTATTTCTGTAAATTCAACACTAGCTTGGTTTGCAGAGTGAGTTCCAGGACAGCAAAGGCTACATAGAGAGAAACGCTGTCTCAAAAACAAACAAACAAAACAACAAACAAAAACAAAAGAAAAAGTAAAACAAGAAAAACAGATTTTTAAAAAATAATGCAGCAAGACCCATCTCACAACATTCATTTCCCAGGTGCACGAATGTTTCAAGGGCCCAACGGGAACAGTGACTGTCAGTGTGTGCGTCTCTTTTCGGTCACAGCTATTCCAAACCGAGAGCTCCAACACCTTCCACCCAGAGGCGAGAACTGCTGACTCAGCCCATTGCCAGCGAGGCTTTCACCGTAAAGGAGAGATAGCCAGCGCAGGGTGTCGGGGTGCATGCTTGTGATCCCAGCATTTGAGAGAGTGAGACGAAAGGATGGAGTCTGAGGCCACCCTGAGTCACATAGCAAGACCGTCTCCAAATACACGAAAAGAGCTGGTTTCCATTCAGGACAGAGTCAGGGTGAGCCAATCCTGGGAGCCACTGCACTAAAGTTCAGGGTCAGAGACCCACAAGATCTTACCACAGGGGTGGCAAGGCCTGCAGAAAACCGGAACCAGCGTGTAAGCTGCAATTATATCATTTATTTATATATTTTGCTTTTTTAAAAAAATATTTATTTATTATGTATACAATATTCTTTCTGTCTGTATGTATGCTTGCAGGCCAGAAGAGGGTGCCAGACCTCATTACAGATGGTTGTAAGCCACCATGTGGTTTCTGGGAATTGAACTCAGGACCTTTGGAAGAACAGGCAATGCTCTTAGCCGCTGAGCCATCTCTCCAGCCCGCTTTTTTTTTTTTTTTTTAATCGAGACGGCGGCTCACTCCAGGCTGTCCTGGAGTCCACTACGTAGATCAGGCTGGCCTTGAACTCACAGGGATCCGTCTGCCTCTGCCTCCCCGGACACCACTACCGCTGGCTGCAAACTCCAATTTTAAAGGAAAGCAGAATATTCGCAAGTGAAGGGTTGAATGCACGGCTAACATCCACTACAACCGTAAACAACTTAGATGCCCACTGTGAGTGTAAGAAGCAGAAAACCGGTACTTTGTTTATACCCACCCCTCACTCTCAGTAAAGCGAGGAACCCGCATCCTGAATTTAGCGCCCCCACAGTTGATAGCTCTTTTCTTGTTGGAGTCTATTGCAGTTATTAGGGCTGGGAATGGAGTTCGTTGGCAGAGCGCTTGGTTGACATGTGTGAGGTTTTAAGTTCAATCCACAGAACTAAAAAACTAAAACTAAAAAAACAAAAACAAACAAACAAACAAAAAACAGCCTTTAAAGTTAGTAAAACATAGACGCACAGAAACACAAACCGTAAAACCTGAGTCCTGGACTGAGTGCAGATCCACTCTTAGCCAGTTCTCGGCGTCGCCCTCTGGCGGCCAGGCCCGGCACTGCGTGAAGTGCCGCTTCCACCCTCGTCCACAGGGCGGGGCCCCACAAATTTGCATACCCATGGAACACTGCGCACAAGACAAAAACAAAACGAAAAATTAACGTATCGTTCTAAGAATATCTTCGTGAAAGTCAGCTTTGATTTATAAAACAAAAATAATGGTCCCTTTTTAGCTACAATATTTTTGCGCCAAGAAGACACCATCACTCAACTAGGAGTTGCTGTTGCCCGAGGTGTGAGTGACGGCGGGTCAAATCATACTCTGGTTTCTCTTCAGATCGTATAAATCTTTCGCCTTTTACTAAAGATTTCCGTGGAGAGGAACAACTCTGAGTCTTAAACTAATTTTTTGAGGCCTTGTTTTGGCAAGGCTACACAAAATAGTCTAACATAAGAACATATTTGTATAGCTATTGGCACACAAAGGTATCTTTGTCGCCCAACTGGCTCTTCCCATGTAGTGGGTATGCAGATGCTACACATGACATGTTCCTTGTGTGCCACTTTTGTAACTACTTCTACAAACCATGCTAGACACTTCAGTTCTAACCCCTTTCTAGAGCTGGATGGCCTTACAGGTATGAGTCAACACACCCAGTAACAAGGTTCCAGAGTGGCCAACTTAGGGGGCTAAATAGTCCTGCTTCCCGGACCTGCCTAGGGCCTTGTTTGTTGGGTGAGTCAGTTAATCTCTATTTCACGTTAAGGCCCTGGGCTCCAGGGAGTAGAGATAAGAGAGACAGAACCAAAGTGCACAGTCTATAAGAACCGCCCCTGCCTTTAGTCACTACAAGGCTGTCCATCCTATGGGACCTGACTCAGACAGGCTTCCTGTGGGGATGAAAGAAGCAGCAGGGACAAAGCCACACTGCAAAGCCAAGATCGACAGGCTACATAGGCTATCACGTGCTCATGCATGCTTACATACAGTCATAGACCCACGTCACACACCACATGCACACTTGCCTACATACGTTACCATAAATAACATGCAGTTACTTATACACACATGCACTTGCCAGCTTAACCTCACATACATACCTGGGAACTGCCGGGCACGTGTAGCTTGCTTGACTACAGCCTCGGGCACACCGGCAGGCAAGTGCTTGACCACTGAGTTATATTCGCTGCCCATGGAAAACTTGCTGTGTTGAACATTAGCCTGGCCCCTGGAACGCTACAGCAATGGACCTGGGGGAACCCAGGCAAGCGAAGGGCAGTGGAAGCAGACTCTGCCCAAGAAGTGTAAGGGTCTTGTGGAAACAGAGGTGTGGGGGTCAGACCTTGAGGCAAACCCAGAATGTCCCAACAAGGACTAGCAGGCGCATCTCAATTCAGAATGGGTAGACTTCCTCCCAAACTTTGCGTCAGAGTCCCTGTGGCTCACACTAACTCCTATTGAAAGGAGCTAATCCCGCCCATCTCTTCTCCCCTTCAGGCTGGTAGCTTTTCCAGGATGGAAAACCAGCCTTTGTCTGGCGATCCTGGGTCTCTAACTTAAGACAAGCTGCCGCCAGTGTATGCTCTGCATCCGGCCCATCAAGGAGGATGTGGCGCGGCTTCAGGGCTGTTTATGCCCAAACATCTGACCGAGGTCAGTTGGGATCACTCTACAAAATGGCAGACCTAGTACCATTTGAACACCAGTGTCCTGGAAAAACAAGCGAAGCAGGGCTGTTGTGGAGTGAAGGGGAGTACAGATGTGACCAGCTGGCAAAGGAGGGAGAGCTTTCATTCAACTTTGGATCACTAACAAGGACCCCATCGGATGCAGAAGACAGGATATAAAGGGTTATGGCAAGTTAACAGTAAAGAATCACCAGGTTCTGCTCTACAAAGATAGTTCACAGAGACATCCCCCATCTGAAAACTCCCACACGTCCATTGCTAGAGTAAGCACAGGCAGAACCCACCGGACAGACGCTAAGGACCTGTCACTAGCGCCACTAGCAATGGTAGTCACATAGCCTTCAGAGGCCTCGAGGGTCTCACTGGAGAGATGGTAAGGTGACAAGAACTTTTTTTTCTTTTTTGGGGGGGTGGGGTGGGGTTGGTTTTTTGAGACAGGGTTGCTCTGTGTTCTGGCTGTCCTAGAACTCTCTCTGTAGACTATGCTGGCCTCACACTCACAGACATCCCCCTGCCTCTGCCACCCAAGCATTAAGATCAAAGGTGTGTGCTATTGAGCCCAGCAAAACAAATCTTGGGGGAAAAAAGGGTAAAATTATTATATCAAAGCCACGTGTTATTAACTCTTCAGCATTTTTTTTAGATTTGTATGTATCTGAGTGCTTTGCCTGCATATATGCCTGTCTATGTACCACGTGGATGCTTAGTGCCCCAAGCAATATGCAGGGAGTTGATGAGTACATAAAGCAACTTGTTGACGAATGGCTTTAGACTTTCATTTCTTTTGAGATACGGTTTTCCAGGACAGGCTCCAAAACCACAGAGAAACCCTGTCTCGAAAAACCAAAAAAAAAAAAAAAAAAAAAAAAAAGAGAGAGAGAGAGAGATACGGTTTTACTATGTATTAAGTCTGACTTCATTCATCTTCCTGCCTCAGCCTCTGGAGTTTTCACGTGACAGTCTTTAGTTCTTCTAAGAAAGATTTTTTTTTTGTCATAAAAACCGTTCTTTACTTCACTGTGCCCTCTGCTGGGATGCCAAGTTTTCTTCCCCTGTCCAGAGAAGGGTCTCCTTATCCATCCTCAAAGGCACCATTGGTAGCCTCCATGTGTCTGGACTTCTTGTGCCTGGCCCACAGTTTCCCAAGGGTGTCAGGGAGGCCATAGACAGAAAGCACAGTATGTCCGTGGCAGGACAGCCTGGCTGACTCAGAGTGGAGTGGACATTCTGGGGTCATCTTAAGAGTCCGTATCCCTTCCCTGGGCCTGTCACCTTGGCCACAGTAGGACCTTCAGTGATTCAGGCCACTGAAAATTTAGTGGTTCTCAGAGACAGCATTTCCACTTAGATCCAGTGCTATGCAGTGGGAAGTCTCCCCAGATTTGGGGCTTCGGGAGGGAGGGTGGTCCCCAGGTGAGCCTAGCCAGTCACATTCCAGCCCCACGGGGAGAGCTCGGGGTTCTTCTCGGGGCTGGACAGCAAGGAGAGAAACATGTGTTTACCTTTTGATCCAGCTAGCTGCAGCTGTCTGTCCTCTCTCTCTCTCCCGTGGCGGCTTCTCTGGGTCCGCGTTACCAGGTGTTCCAGGCTGGCCAGCTTATGAATCTTTTGCTTTTAAATGACAGGAAGAAAAAGAACCCGATTGGTAGTCAGCAGTGGGAGGGCTGCTTCTGGCTCAGGGCTCCAAGGTCACTGGGTCACTGATGAACTCGGAGCCGAGGAGGGCAAGGACAGCAGGCAAGCACTGCACAGGCCCCCTAAGGCGGAGGACCCACAGAAACCCAGAAACCGGAAGTCTTCTCGGTGTCTGCCCCTGAGATACAACTTCCTTACTCTACGTTCCGCCTCCTAAGGCCTCTTACTTCCCAGTAGCCTGTCCTTCAACACGAGGGCGTTCGGGGAAAACATCACAGGTGTGAAATATAACAGTTGAGCCAAGTTCTCTCGCTTGAGGGTGGGAGTATATGGGTGGGAAAAAAGGACAAATTGTGTATGTGAAGGTGTGCACGCGCCCGTGTGCGTGCGTGTGGGGGCCAAGGGTCAGCCTCAAGCCCTATCTGTTGCTGGGCCCTAACATCTTCCTCGGGGGAAGGGGTGAGAAGCCACAGTGTCAACGTGTAGGACACTGGGAGTCAGGTAGAAGGCATACAGCCGACTCGTTTATTTAACAACGGGGAAAATCTTATAAACCCTCCCAGCATCCAGCCGTTCTGTCCATTGACAGGCGATGTCTCATGCTCGTCCCTCATTGGCTAGACATGATCACTGGTTCTAAAGCACTCAGAAAACACCACTTGGTTATTCCTTATTGGCTAGGCACGGTCAGGACCTCGACAGCGCCAGGCAGACGCTAGGTTGGCTCCTTTTGGCCTCGCAGACCTTAACTTCCTAAGGGTATTGTTCCTCAAGCGCTATCCATTTGGGGAAAAAATAATAATTTAGTTTGTTACCATCACCATTATGGCTTGTGTGCACGAGAGTATGCCTGTTCCTAGGGGCACACACTGGAGAAGAAAGGATGGCCTTCCAATGTAGTCTCTCCTTCCTTATGGGTTCTAGGGGTTGAATTTAGGTAGACAGTGCTTCTACACTCTGATCCACCTCAACGGCCTTTTAGATGTTTTAAATTTTATTGTTTACTTTAAACTTGTTCTTGGGCTGGTGTGGGAGCCAGAGAATGCAGGCCATTTCCCACATTTGTCTGACGGTTCGGAGTAGCTGTCAGACTAACTGGTGCATCCCGCACTTTCCGACATAGGAGGTGCTCACCTAGCTCCTTGGATAGTAAAGCAAACCGGGCAATGTCCTGCAAGTGGTCAGGATATGCTAATGTTTTCTGCTCCTTGTACTGTAACTGTGAGGTCATCTGGGGAAGAAGTGTTTTCAGTCTACATGACAAAATGGGCATGACTTAAGTCATTCCCCGCTACCTAGGAAACAATGCTAATGAAGTTTTTGTTACCTTCCCCTTCAGGTTACGTTGATATAAAAGCTGTTTGAAAAATAAACGGGGGTGATTTCACGATTTGAATGATCACTGAAACTCCCTCCCGAAACTGTCATGTGAATTGTGTTTTTAATATGCCCACACCTCCACGCTGGTATGAAAAATGATTTATGTTGGGGTTGGTCCATGACAGACTGGAGAGATGGCTCAGAGGTTGAGAACTGGCTGTTCTTCCAGAGGTCCTGAGTTCAATTCCCAGAACCACATGGTGGCTCACAACCATCTGTAATGAGATCTGGTGCCCTCTTCTGGCCTGCAGAGATACATGCAGACAGAATGCTATAGATATAATAAATTAATTTTTAAGAAAGGAAGTGCTGCTGGGAGGTGATGGTGCACATTTTAATCCCAGCACTCGGGAGGCAGGCGAATCTCCGTGAGTTCGAGGTTGGCCTCGTCTACAGGGTGAGTTCCAGGAAAGGCTCCAAAGCTACACAGAGAAACCCTGTATCAAAAAAAAAAAAAGTGCTATCAAAAATTTTATTTATTTATTATGTATATATATAGAGAGTTCTGCCTGCCCTGCATGTAACCTGCAGGCCAGAAAAGAGGGTACCAGATTTCATTACAGATGGTTGTGAGCCACCATGTAGTTTTGTGGCTGGGGAAAAAACTCAGGACCTCAGGAAGAGCAATCAGTGCTCTTAACTTCTGTGCCATCTCTCCAGCCCTAGGCTCATGTATTTTTTATGTATGTGATTATTTGTTTATGAGATGGCCTCATTATTGGGAATTTGCTATGTAGATTGTCTGCCCTTGAACTCACAGAGATCCGCCTGCATCTGCCTCCAAAATGCTGGGATTAAAGGTGCCCACCACTAAGCCCAGCATTTATTTCACCATCTGTTTATTCATACACACACAAACACACACACAGAGACTCATTTACACACACACACAGACTCATTTACACACACACACAGAGAGAGAGAGAGAGAGAGAGAGAGAGAGAGAGAGAGAGAGAGAGAGAGAGTCATTTGTTTGAAACTCACCAGACAGGCTGGGCTGACTAGCAAGAGAGCTGTGGGGACCATCCATCAGTTTCCATATCTTCAGTACTGGGATTATGAGCATGTGCCAACCATGGGCAGCTTTAATTTTTTTGTGTGGGTTCTGGTAAATGAAGTTAGATCTGTCTGTGTTTTTATACACTAGTTCCCTAGTCCCAGAAGACGACTTCACAAGCAGGAAGATACAGAAACAAAGCGAGGCAAACCTTTGTAGTTCCTGCCTGTGACACTTGCCGCTGGTGCCACTGCTCTCCACAGGGAAAGCAGGCATGGCCACGCTGCCCATCTCAGAGGTTACGGAAGACGGAGTGTGTGTGTGAGCACGTGTGTGGGCAGCCCATCATCATCATTATCATCATCGTCATCATCATCATCATTATCACCATCACCATCATCATCATCATCATCACCATCATCATCATCATCATCACCATCATCATCATCATCATCATCGTCATCATCATCATCATCACCATCATCATCATCATCATCACCATCATCATCATTATCATCATCGTCATCATCGTCATTATCACCATCATCATCATCATCATCACCATCATCATCACCATCATCATCATCATCACCATCATCATCACCATCATCATCATCAGTCAACCTTAGTGCAGCCTGGGCCGTGGTAGCAACGCCAGCAGGGTCCCTCTGGGGGACAGCGTCCCGCTTCACAGGTGGTAAAGACTCCTGACTCAGAGGTCTGCACCCCACCTACCTCTGCCAGCTCTAGGCCAGGGGTGCCCGACGAGATTTTCCAGTTGCAGGGGATAGTGTGGACACATGGCTCACATCCCTTTGTTGGTTTTCAGCAAATTAAAATTTATCTCTCAGGGAGGAAATAAGAGGTCAGATTTTTTTTCTTCTTCTTCTTAATGGGTCCTGATGAAGGGAATGAATTGAGGGGGGAAGGAATCAGAAATCCGATCCACCTCTGCTGGCTCAGAAAGAGAGCGGGGGCTCCCTGCACCCTCAGAAGGGCAGCTGGGCACAGTGAGTTTTATTATATAATTAACCTTGACCCTTCTGGGTTCAAAGAAAGAGGTTAGTTGGAAATAAATCAATAGTCTGGTCTGGTCACTTCAAAGGCTACAAAACCCGCTGGAAAATCCCATGTTTGTTCAGTGTGTGAATTGGAATAGGTGTGCAGTCCTTTTTGAAAGGTAGGAGGAGGGTTTTAGGTCTAAATTAAAATTAATTGTATATCCGCTTCCTCTAATCAGGCAATCAAGGCCTTTATTGTGTGTCTTGCAGGAAGAGGGGGAGGCCAGAAGAAAGCATTGTGACCTTTGTGTGACTGCTGGGCCGGATTCAAGAACAAGAGCTTGGGGAGCAGTAGCAGGGTGCGGTCCTTTGTCATGTCTGAAATAGCTTTTTCTGTTTTACCCAGGGCCTCTTGCATGCCAGCCAGGCAAGCCCTTTCCCTGAGCTGTATCCCAACTGGAGTCCTTAGACTCACCCAACAGTGACCATTACGACACAGAATGCTTATTGAGTGCCTACATTAAACCAGGTGCCAAGAATTTTCTAGTAGGGTCCTCATTTGATCTCTTCACAAAGCAGCCCTTTAAGTCTGGTTATGATCGCCACTGGTTAAGGAACTACTCAGTGGGGCAAAGGTCAAGTCTGGAGCTGCACTGAGATTCTCAGAGTCTGTTTTCCTGCCCTGGAGGAATGAACGGGAGCTGGGGAGGGGGCGGGGAAGAGTCTTTTACCGCCAGCTTCCTCAGGCTCTTTGTTCATTTCCCTTAAGAAGTTGGAAGGTAGCTGGGGCTGGAACCCAGTGCTTCACGCCTGCTAAGTGCCTGTTCTACCTGTACTGCACCTTTAGGAGCGAGCTTATTTGTTTATTTTTACTTTTAGATATTTATTTCTGTGTGTCTATGCCTCTGTTCATGTGTACACACAGGTATGTGGGATGTTACCTGTGTGCTGGGGTCTGTACTCTGGTCCTCAGGATTACATAGCGAGCACTCAGCCACTGAGCCATCTCTCCGGCCCTATTACTACTACTACTACTACTACTACTACTACTACTACTACTACTACTACTACTTTGGGGGGATGAGGTCTTGCTATGTAGCCTAGGATTGAAATTACAGAGGTGCACTACCATTTCAGCTCAGGTTGATCTCACTGTGTAGTCCTAGATGGCCTACAATTCACTATGCAGAACAGGCTGCCCTTAAACTCACAGAGACAGCCGGGCGATGGTGGCGCACGCCTTTAATCCCAGCACTCGGGAGGCAGAGGCAGGTGGATCTCTGTGAGTTCGAGACCAGCCTGGTCTACAGAGCTAGTTCCAGGACAGGCTCCAAAGCCACAGAGAAACCCTGTCTCGAAAAACCAAAAAAAAAAAAAAAAAAATCCTCACCGAGACCCCTCTACCTATCCTCCCAAATGCTGAGACTAAAGGCATGTACAGCCTCAACCACTCTTGGCTTCATCTCCAGTTTTATTGCTGTCTTTCTCCCCCCCTCCCCCCTCCCCGCCCCAAGACAGGAATTCTCTGCTGCATAGCTTTGGAGCCTGTTCTGGAACTCTCTCTCTGCAGATCAGACTGGCCTCGGAGATCCGCCTGCCTCTGCCTCCCGAGAGCTGGGATTAAATGCATGTCCCACCACTGCCCGGATCGACTGCTTTTGGTCTGTCCCTTCTCTCCCCCACATTTCCTGCCGTTCAACAAGTTTTCACTGAGCATTTAGCACTACCTTAGTCAGGTCGTAAAGTCCCTCGGCCTTTGGGAAATTGAACCCTAAGATCGCCAAGCCCGTTGTGCTATAGTGTTTCGGGGGTGAGGGTTCGGTATGAGAGAGCTAAGCAAGGTACAGTGTCAAGTGTAGAGCACAGCAGTGGCTCTAGCTGGAGAGGATGGGGGAAGCTCTCCCCAGCCTGCAGAAAGGCCCAGCCTTCTCACCCTGAAGCAGGCCAGGAGAAGCCAGGCCTTGTTTTTAGATAGCTGGACTCGGTGATGGGAAGAGAACGTTAGCCTCCTCTGTCTGCCTCATTAATAATAACGACAGTGTGCTCGGCCCTGGGGGCTTCTTGTTCACGCCTCCAGCAACCCATGAAGGAGGAAAGTGGGACGGAGATGAGGGTGTGAATGCCAGGTTGCTCAGCTGGACAGTGACAGAGCCAGGATTATAAACCTTAGTCCATACTCTTAACTACCCCCGCCTCTGGTGAGGAGACCTTGAATGACGGTCATAAAGCATCTGTTCTGGTCTGTGGCGGTGAGGTCACGGGAGGCTCCCTGCTCATTTTATGAATATTTAACTCTCCTTTGGACAGGAGGTGTGTGTGACAGCCCAGGATCTCCTCATTCTTAAAACAAACAGCACACAAGTAACATTATGCAGACTGAGCAGGTTATATTTATATGTTCAGGAACACACACACACATACACACAAAGAAAAAGTGGCCACAAATTTGAGAAAGAGCAAGGGCACATAAGGGAAAGGTTGGGGAGAGGAAAGAGAAGCAGCGAATGATGTAATTATGTTTAACTCAAAACTTATAATAAAACCAAAACAACTCCATGTTAGTTCGTTTCTATTCCACCCCCCCCCCCAATAATCCTTCTGGAAACAGAACAAGTCAGTGGCCTGCTAGGACAAGGACTCTGGCGGTCAAGCCCCGATCACTCTTTACTTCCCTGGGTCTTGGGTTTTTCATCTGGTTAAAGCACTTGCTTCCCCCCCTCCCATTTAGCTTTTTATTGATTCTTTTTTTTTTTTCTGGTATTTTGAGACAGGGTTTCTCTGTAGGTTTGCATCCTGTCCTGGAACTCACTCTGTAGACCAGGCTGGCCTCGAACTCACAGAGATTCGTCCGCCTCTGCCACCTGAGTGCTGGGATTAAAGGTGTGCGCCACCACCGCCCGGCACTTTTTATTGATTCTTTGTGGATTTCACACATGAACCTTGATCTCACTCATCTCTCCACCCCTTCACATATGCCCTCTGCCCTTGTAACCTCCCCCAAGATCAAACAAAACAAAATTTAAAGGAAAAGAAAGAAGGAAGGAAAGAAAGAAAAATCTCACTGTAGAAGCTGCAGTGTGACATAGTGAGCCACACACTAAACCCTTTAGTCCACATGTCATTTAGCCCACACACATACTTGTAACAAACATTAAAACGAGTCTGGTTCGAGGCCTCTGGTTTCTGCTGTTCTACCAATACTGGGCCCTCACCGGGACTCCTCTTGGCTATCCTGTCGTCCTGTGTCATGGACCAGTCCCTTCACGAGCTCCGGCAGATCACAGATGGGGTGGATGTTGGGGTGGGCCAACTCAAAGCCCTATTTCTGGACCTGGGTGGCTGCTGGGTTGGTCAGACCAACAGCTCTCCTTCACCAGCAGGGTGAGCTCTCCAGCACCGCCCCAGCGAGCTCACCCAGTGCAGTAAGCAGCAAGGGGCAAGGCCAGTTCTGCTTGCATGCCCTCAGCACCCTCTAGCCCACGCCTTGCACCACCAGAATCAGCTCTACCGTGTTGCCCAGGTGAGGAAGCACCTGCTTTTAAATCTGGCTGAATTCAGTCCTTGAGAGATCAGACTTCCATAAGTTGTCCTTCACATGTGAACCATGATGTACACATTTTCCTCCATAATAAATAAACAAATGTAAAATAAAAAGAAGAAATTACAGATGTCATGATTATCTTTGGGACATGAGTCTTCACTGAGGCCCCTTTCCTCCCTCAGAAGATTCCAGGCCACATCAGACCATGTGAAGAGCATCCGCTGGGGGAATCTGACAGTTGTTCCGTTTATACGCTTTCCATTGATTATCTAAGCACCACACCCCACGAAGCAAATGACATCCTCCTGACTGTCCGGTGACCTCCTGGTTCACTTCCACACCTCCAGCCTTTCTTTGCTACTCCCTGGCTTTTCTATTCCTCAACCCAGTACTTCAGCAATTCCGTGCCTTCTCTTTCTAAAGCAGGTTGCTGCTATACACCCAAGACAGTCTTTTGATACTTGTGAGTTATTTGTATTGTAAGTTCATAGAGGTTGTCTCTGCGCCTCTCTTACAGGGGGCAAACGAAGCACATCTTGACCGCTACTGGTGTTTAAAACGGCACGCCCGTCCCATAGGCTGTAGTGCTCATTGATTCCACAAGGTGGCAGCAAATCCTCTTGTCACAGCCCCGTTCCATAAGTGCTTGGCTACCAGGCTGCCAGGGTGGGACCAGAGGCTCCTTTAGCTCCAGAGAGCTCCAGGGAAGTCAGGTCAAGTATAGAATTCCTTCCCACCTGAGTTGCGGATTCCCTCCCCCCACGAAAGCCTCGTTTGGTTGGTTGGTTATATGTGACTGTACATGTTATAGTGTGCCTGTGGAGGTCAGAGAACAACTTGCAAGAATCAGTTCTCTCCTTCTACCAGGCTGGTCACAGGGTCATCAGGTTTGGTGGCAAGTGCCCTTACCTGATGACCCATTTCACCTGCCGCCTCTCCTTGTTTTTGACAGGGCCTGTAGCCCAGGTTGGCCTCAAACTCTCTTCTTTTGAAGATGACCTCTCTTCTTTTGAAGATGACCCAGAAGTTCCGATCCTCCTGCCTCTACGACCCAGATGCTGGGGTTATAGGTGTGTAGCACCATGCTTGGTTTATGCAAGTCTGGGAATTGAATCCAGGGTTTCATCCCCAGCCTCTGGCTCTGTGTGTATGTGCAGGTGTGTGGAGGGGGACTTGCCTTAATTGCTTTTTGCCTGGTGTTTTTTGCTTGTATATATTTATTTTTTATTTTTGAGACATCATCTCTCACTGGACCTACAGGGTTTGCTTTAATAAACAATGTAGCAGTCATACTATTGTTTCTTTTTTTATTTATTATGTATACAATATTCTGTCTGTGTGTGTGTCTGCAGGCCAGAAGAGGGCACCAGACCTCATTACAGATGGTTGGGAGCCACCAAGTGGCTGCAGGGAACTGAACTCAGAACCTTTGGAAGAGCGGGCAATTCCCTTAACCACTGAGCCATCTCTCCAGACCCGTACTATTGTTTCTAACCTGGCCCTAGAGACACAATAGGACCGCTACATTGTTTATTAAAGCAAGTCCTGAAGGCTGGTCATACTTAGGGAAATAGATTACACCGATGGGAAAAGGGTCAGCTGAGTGAAGCTGAGTAGAACAGAGATGGCTGCCCGCGCCCAGGCACGCCCAAACCACAGCTCCTAAGCAGATTAGAGGCCATGTTAAAACGCATTACAGGGCCCCAGGCAGTCAGAATGGGTTTAAGCCCTGGCTACTACCATCTTGTACCTTGAGACGCTAGATGGGGTGGTTGGTGGGATAGGAGGAGCACCAATGTAACTGAGGACCCTGCACTTATCTTCCCGCCTCCACCTCCTCAGCGCTGGGATTACAGTCACACACTACCATGTTTAGTTTATGTAGTGCCGGGAGGTAACCCAGACCCTATGCTAGGCAAGCACTCGGCCAACTGAACTCCAGCCCCAGCTTCCCTGCCTTCCTGAGTTGTGACCCTAATAATGGGAATGATCACTAGTACAGCTATTTCACAAGGCCATGAGTAGAGGTGTGACCTGCCCACAGAGTGCCCACTTGGGGGTGCCTCACACAGTTTTGAAGGTATCGTTGCCAATATCCCAGGCTCTGATACTATGAGGGCCCTTTCCCCAAAACACGCCCCCATCCCCCTGCCCTCTCTAGCCCAGAATCTGACCCAGTATCAAAAACCTCAACAGTCACTTTGGCAACAGTATCTTTATTCAGTTAAAAACGGACAGACTGTGACAAACCCAAGCCAGGCCAAGGAGGCGGCCAGTCCCGTCTCCCCACAGCCCCTCTGACCAAAGGAGTGGGAGGAGCCCTGGAATCCACCTACCATCTGGGGGAAGGGACAAACTGCCCTTCCCAAGTTCACTTGGACAAGACTCTAGGTTTCTAGAAAACACCACGAATTCTACCTTTATCAGCTAATATCTAAAGTTCAGGGTGGGCAGTCCCTAGAGGATCTGGGGTCAGGGACTTTATGTTCTAACCTCATTTTTAAGGAATACATTTACCCCCCCTTTTTTTCTTTAAAAAAAGTTTTCCTTCTGCTATTTAAAAAAATGTTTCTGAGTGTAACCAAAAATAGGTATTTCTTTCTTTCTTTCTTCTTTTTCTTCTTTTTAACCTAAGTAGCTCAAAGAACAACACAACAGAAAAGAGAAATAAAACGTAAACACACCTCATACAAAAATAACTCCTGGCCACCCCTGCTGACTGCGTAGGTCAGGTTACCTGGGTCCCGTAATACGGAAAGCTGGGGTGCCTCTGTTGGGGTGTACCCACTCCAAGTAATGCAGTACATTCTAGGGACTGGAGCCCGTGTCTGGACAGGACAGGGGACAACCTCCAGGTCATGTCCTACCTTCCCCCGTACCAGGCAGGGAGGGATCAGAGGGATCCCAATGGCCAGTGGGTTGTCTGAGAAGATCAGAGCAGGGGTGGACAGACACAGGGGATGGAGGACAGGTTTGGTATGCCAGGAGGTGACCATTTTGGGACAACAATTTATACTTCAAGGAACAATTTTCCTCTTGTTTTGGCTTGTTTCGCATTTTCTCTCTGGCCAATTTCATCTCTATTTCTGTAAACCCCATGGTTACTTAGCCAAAGACTCCTCTGTTGGGGCAGAGGCAGGCAAGGCTGGGGGAGAGGGAGGCTTAGGAGGGCCCAGTGACAACACAGGCCCACACCGAGGGCCTTGAGGATTGAGGTAGACGGTTTCTTTCACACTTAGAGTTGGGATAGTGTTTTTTTGTTTTGTTTTCTTTCTTTCTCTCTTTTTTTCTCTCTTTTTTTCTTTCTTTCTTTCTTTCTTTCTTTCTTTCTTTCTTTCTTTCTTATTTTTTCTCCTTTTTCTTTTACTCTCAGGGCAAGAATATGGGGTGGGAGGGGTACCCAAACGGGGGCTTGAGGTAGGAGTACATTCGGGCTCTGTGGGGCAGGGGGCTGAGGCTACTGCCCCACTACTCCCAAGGACATTCATTCCGGCTGAGGTAGGTGCTGAGAGTCAAAACAGCTAAAATCCATCCTGAGAAAACAAGATTGGTACAGGGCGAGGGCATCAGGGGCCAGGCTGCAGCAGGGACTATCGTTTGGAACACAGTTCACTTCCTCTCTCTCTTCTTTCTCTTTTTTGACTTTCAAATTTTGATTTTTAAAGGAAAACTTTGTTTCATTAGAACTCTTGTGGGCAGCAGGCATTGGTGAGGGGACATTAGCTCTAGCAGGGGAGATGCCTTCCTGTAGGACCCACTGGCTCCTGTGGTTTGAGAACCCTGTCCTTCAGTTCTAGAAGCACTGGTGAGCTCCTAGAACCACTCAAGTCCCATGGAGCAGGAAAAACCTCGCCTTCAACCTGAGAATGGGGCACTGCCCCTCCGGAACACATCAAATGCTGGCTCACAAGGAAGCCGGGACTGCTGGAGGCTGGGCGTCCTGTCCTTCACTGAGGAGGCCTACATCCTGGGGTTCTGGGGCAGGTCCAGGCCCTGCAAAGGAGGACTTGGCCTCTGCTGTCCTTCCTGCCAGAAGGCTGTAGCCTTGAAGCTGCACCACGGAGAGCTGGGTCTCCCCACACGGAGCAGGGGCTGCAGGATCCTGAGGAAGGAAGGTTGGGTATGGATGTCAGTATCAGAGCTAGAGGCACGGGTTGGTCCCAATGCCACCCCAGGGTGTGGGGCCAGCGGTTGTATCTAACTTTTCATATTGTGGCACATTGTCCATTGTCATCAAAATGACAATGCTGAAGACCATTCAGCCAAGTCACATAAAAAAGATATATATATAGATCCTTTCTCTCCGACTGGGCAGTGGTGGCGCATGCCTTTATTCCCAGAAGTCGGGAGGCAGAAATAGGTAGATCTCTGTGAGTCTGGTTCTGGGCTGCACAAAGAAACCCTGTCTTGGAAAGAAAAAAAAAGCAAAAACCCTCAAAATCCTTTCTCTTTTTTCTTTGAGACAAAGTCTCACTCTGTAGTCCTGGATGGCCTACAACTAGTGCTTGTAGACCAGGATAGACTAGAACTCACAGATCCACCTGCCTCCTGAGTTCTGGGATTAAAGATGTGGACCACCAAGCTTATAATCATAATTTTTTTTAAAAAAAAAAAGAGAGTATCATGTAGCTCAGGTTGGCTCTCTATGTAGCCAAGGCTAATCCTGAAATTCTGATTCTCATGTCTTCACCTGAGTATTGCTGGGATGACAGGTATACACCACCATACCTGCTGTTTTTTTTTTTTTTTTGATTGTTTGTTTGTTTGTTTTTTGTTTTTTCAAGACAGGTTTTCTCTGCATAACCCTGG